ATAAGCTCTTGCCACATCCAGCTGTTACTGCTCCTCATTCCTAAAATATACGAACTTGACCACTCAAACTCATCTCATCTGTTGCTAGTGTTCAAATGTGGAACAGAACACAGCGAAGCATTAGAAGGATTTTACAAGGTCTAGCAAGCCACACCAGGGATCATTTTCTCCCCAAGAGTTGAAGGGAAAACAGAGAAGAGAGTCAAACAATAAGGCTTAGCCCCATCTGTCCCAGTTTTACTCCCGTTCTCTCTCCCAAGCCATTATAAATCAAGAGCACCTTCCAGACACTGCTTTTATGATTTGGCTGCAAGTCTGCAAGCATCTCCATAAGCACCTTTCGTGAACAAGKTTACAGCTACTACTTACATTGATCTCTTTCTGCAGAGCCATTCAGATAAATCTGAAAACTGCAAAGCACCCACTGAGGCTTCCACTAAGACAGCTGTTAGTTATGTTTCTCTACCCCTCAGGTCAAAAAAAGAATTACAAGGAGATAATAATTTCAATTAGCTTCTAAAGCTTTAGCTTTGTCCATACTGTAGACTCTGAGTTAATTTAATTTGTCCCCAGGTAGCTGATGCAATTTTATTATCTTTTTCTTGCAGTCTTTTATTTTTCTTTGACAACTTCTTCCCTTTGGAAATGCAGGAGGACTTGTCTTTTTTGTTGTTGTTATTGCTGTTCTTAAAAGATAAATAATTTTGTCTCCTTCAGCTCATTCTGTCCCAGCAGTTTACTTCATGCTAACACRTTGACAAACCATAAATACAGCACTAGAGAAATCTTTCCTTCCAAGTCCTTGGAGGTTCAGACAGAGCAAAGGTGACAGCAGATAGGAAGATTCAGGTTAGAATGTTTTTACCATTCAAGTACCACTAGAAACTGCATCCCGGGAGCAGTGTAGACTCTTATCCACTAGTTTATTAGAAAACTCTATAGATTGCATTAAAATATAGCCAATTTTATTTAATGTTGTCTGTAGCCATCAGTATTTCATGGTCCTAATAGAGACACTGGATATGGAAGCAAGTAGGGTACAAAGTTGTCTGTGTTGCTGATTTATTCAGCCCACTGCAAACAAGCAGGTCAGTAAATCTACCTCCCTMTGTCCCAGCTTCATTGCTTTTTAGTTCTTGAAGAGGAAGCATCCCTCAATTTCAATGCAACAGCTGCAAATTTGCACAGGAATACAGAGGGACAGGCAGGAGTTTTGCTCCACTAATTCCTGCAGAGAAGTCTCTTTCTACCAACAGGAAGCTGCAAATAGGAGATGTCAAAGTTGTCCAGTACATGCTGACGTGGAGGCTGCAGGAAAGAAGCTCAACTGTTTGAAGAGTAATGCTAWAATTACACAAAATGAATCAACGATCATACAAAAGAGACTAGGATTCCTAGGTGCTTTAATTAGCTTTAGATCGCCATTCGGTCTGACTGAGGAAAGCAAAACGTTCTGAACTGGCCACCAGGAGCGTGGCTCTGTCAGCACAACCTCACCTGAGACTGGGATTATCACTCAGCAATCCCCAGAAAGCTGCAGACTGCACCAAGCAGCCCGTGAGCAGCCTGTCACGGCCACTTGCAGCACAGACAGCCTACTAAATAAGCCCAATTTGTCTGACTTACTGCACGTGTGCCGGAGAGTTGATCTGAGCATACGCAGTAACCATTTGCCTGGGACTCCTGAATTGCTTCTGCTGAGAGCAAATTGCCAGGTATCTTCAAATTACTTCCAGACAAGTCTTCAAGCTGAGGGGGGAAAAAAAAGAAAGTCTGTAAGAACCTGACYATAGGAATCCCTTCTCCGAGGTGACAAGTTCACACTGCTTTCAAAGCTGGCGATGACTTTGCATCACTGCTAAAGCCATTAGCCAGTCTCTGAGGGGGAACACGGATTTTCAAGCAAACAGTAAAACTTACAGGTAGACGTGCTATGTGCTGTCACCAGGGCAGAAGGTAAAGCAAGACGATGGTGTCTGTGTGAGCAAAGGAGAAGTTAGCCCTGAGCGGCCAGGAAGAACTAGACAAAAAGCAGAGCTCRGCACCTTCCAGCTCGAACAAGACAGCAGTGCTGCAATCAGAGGTGTGAGGTTACATGCAACTGAGGAACAAAAGTACAAGAAGTGACAAGCAAAGAGTGATTTCAGAAGTTCAGTCTACTAAAATTKTACACAAAAGTTGCTTATCACAAAAACAGCTAGTCAATTGTATTTCAACAATAGGTTTATTTTAAGAAACATAACATGACATTAAGTAAAAATGCAAAATTGTGCAATTATGGCAAAAATGTTTAAAAATCCACACATTTGCCCTCATAGGACTACAGTACTTCTTACTAACATACCTGAGCACTGAATGTTGGATGCCATTTCTAAACAGCCTCACGAACAGGGAGATCTTCGATTTCTTGTAGAACATACACTGCATGTTTTGTGCACCAAGATTGCTTTTAGTTATTTTGAGTTCTACTAATTGAATCAAGCGGAAATTTTAAGATATTTCCTTCCAAAATAACCTTCCAAAATAATTTTGGAGAAAACACTTACATTGATGTAAATCCTTAGAACGCTAAAAATTCATTTAATAAAGTGAAATAAATGAATGCAGGAAAACACTAAGCAGGCAAAACGTACAGCTCTCTGCTTAAATATCATTAGTACCTTTGGTGCAGGGTGTTTTCTTTTTGTGCTGTGCAAGTTTACTTGAGTCTGACTCTAAAGCAAAATTTTACCAGGAATCTGACTTYCAGCAAAACATAAAAGCATTTAAGAATTGGCAAAATGTCACAGCTACGTTACTGTCTCAAACCCCTCATGCAAAAGATTCGGTATATTCTACTCTCACAGCAATTTCCAGGATTTAGCTTTTAAAAACATTACAGACTTGGATCATACCCTCGGTTCGAATGGTTAAACAGAATGCAGATCTTCGTACTTTAGTGCAGATAAACAAAATTAACAAACCTACTGCAGAATTAACCACAGCATATTGTACTTCTATACATCACATGACCAGTCAATTGCTAATTCAATTCTATTTCATAGTTTCAAGTAATATATTGAAATTTGTTCTACTAAATAAATATAGAAGATTGTCAAAAAGCAGCAAGAAGTCATGTAAATACTCAACCAAGCTTGGAAAAAAAAAACAAAAACAAAATGAAAACAAGAAAAGTTACATAACACTTTGCAAAAAGATGGTTTACACACAAATGCAACACTGTTAGGGAGGGTGCTTCAGAAAGCTTGCAGCTAGAGGCCTACAACAGCGCAAAGAGAGCTAGCCAAGGACTAAGGAGAATTTAAAAGGAAATAGTTGTACTTAAACAACAACAAAAAAAACCCCACGCTCTTATTCTTGGCTATGGATATATATATTTATAAAATATCCAGAAGAAAACTAAACAAAGAAACAGCAACATACTCAACACTGTTGTAAAATGCAGGCTTAGCAAATGCTGTCAACTTCAACTTTACTTCTGAAAAAGAAAAAAAAATGCAAGCACTCGCATTTAAAAAAAAAAAAAGCTGTTTGGTGAAACTCTGGAAGATGAGGTATGTAATGCAAAGAGGCATTTTTTTTCCATTTCATTTCACAGTTGTTTGTTTTTGCCATTTTAACATTTTGTGCATGAATTAAGAAACAGAACCAGGTGAGCCATCCTTTAGATAAGAAAAAAAAAAAAAAAATCTATTTGGGAACAGCAAGACCCTATAGTAAATGAACATTATCCAAATTCTCAACCATGCCAGGGGGATAAACATTGGCGAGCTAAGTATTGGGCCTACTGACACCATGTATTTTTAAAACTAGATCAGGGTAAGCACTTACAGGCAATGATGGCCACTGCCATTCCAAGTTAACTGTTTTACTTCAGTCAATTTGCAGAAATACAGCAGGGTAAGGTAACATACTCTTTGCTCTGAAAGAATTGTCTGCAACAAACTAAACATGGCAAATTGTAGCTGAGAAGAGTTCTAAGATTAATCTTTTCCCTTTTCTATGCAGTCCTCGTTACTGAAGTAGAGGTTAAATTTTGAATTTATGCCTTAAAAATAAGCTCAATGTTTAATACATAGAGAAAAGTGCTGCAATGTATTGGATCTTTATTCTGTATTTGCATCTAAGCTTATTTAAGCCGTGGACACTTACTGTCAATTTTGCTTTAATACACTGGATTATGAAGACAGCTCAGTAGTGCAAATTTTCACATTATAGATTAGAATGAAAGAAAACATATTTGAGAGCTTGATTACAGGGAAAAAAAGAAGAGTTAAACTACACTTTTCAGAATTATTGGAGCACATAACTAACACTGCACATAGCACTGTGCTCTAGTGGATATTGAAAGGACACTCCACAAACTAGTATCACTAAGGCCATATCCTGTSATCATTCTGTGCAAGAATCTACCACTGCAGTAAAAATGTTAAAAAAGACAATCTGATGACAGGACAGGGCCTGAAGACAGACAGACACTCCACGGAAATAACAGGCATAAGGCTAGCCCATTTCAGACAAACAAGTATTAAAAATGTACTAGCACCATCAACTTTTGGATTAAAGCCCTTTATGGGATGACAGATATTTTAAGCAGTGTAGAGAAAAAAAATGCTTTTAAAGCACTACATCTAAGTGGCAGAAAATACGTGTTGGGATTTTGTTTGTTTGTTTTTAAAAATCTCAGTTTTAAAGAAAATCCACTCAGGAAATGGTACAGTAACCTACACAGGCCTCCTTCTGGGATACTCCATATTCTAACTCTTACTTGAGTATTTCTCCCGAACTGTAGTGCACAAACAATATTAGGAACATCTTAGCAGATTTCAAAAACAATACAAAAAAAAAGATCATCAAGAATCAGAATCTCCCATTCCTCTATGTACTTTCAAACAATCTAAAAGATTTAGTGATATTGCCTCAAATTTTACCCGAATTTAAAAAAAAAAAAAGAGAGAGAGAGAGAGAGAGAGAGAGAGAGAGAGAGAGAGAGAGAGAGAAGGGAAAAAAAAAAAAAGAGGAAAAAAGTCACTTCAAAACAGCTTGGACATCCCTAGCTATTAATGCTAGATTTTCTTTCCCTGTAGTGCATAGTTATCCTGGCTCCTCCACTTAATTTGTTCTTACCACAAAAACATTGCTCTAGTATGACATGATTAAGTGTTTACCAGAAAAAAAAATGCTGATAATTGCACTTTGTAACCTCCTTCTCATTTCCCAGGAAAAATATCAGTAAATAGGAAACTGAATCAGTAATTCCCTCCCAGACTGCAACCTTTGAAGAGCACCCATCCCCATATACAAAAAACTGCCTGTTTCAGCTTACAATAAATACTGACAGAATTTCTTTGTTTTCTTTTAAGACATGTTTTCTCTAGCATCATATTACCACTGAAATCACTAAGGCTTGTTACTGAAAAAAAAAAAGTTAAATAACTTTCTGAAGACACTGCGGATACAATTTAGCAACAACACATTCAAAATGCCGGCCCAAATCCCAGAGTCTATCCGGAGTCTCATACACTTTTTGCCACTGGTCAGTAACCTCATCGTACTGATAGAGCGAATTCTTCCTGCTGGTTCGGAAAACATGTTCTTCAACAGTGACTTGAGTAGCTCTGACAAACAGATGGAGTTTGTTTTTGAGGAGGACAAGTTTTATATACGGATTAATGGATTGGTCACATGGGAAGTCTTTTTTTCGAGTCCATTTGTTTTGCTCAATGTCATAGGCCTCTATGGTAAACATACGTTGATGGTTTCCACAGGTTCCAGCTATGTAGTAGATGGAGTCATTATATACAGTAGCCAAGCCTTGGATCCTAGGCACAGTCATTGGGGTCAAAAATCCCCAGTAATCTTTCTGAGGATCGTAGCAGAGAAAGAATTCCCCTGAAAAGAGAGAGGACAAAGGAAACAACTTATGCATCGTTTCCAGAAAATGAGTTCTGCAACCACTGAGCTTCCACACATCTTTTCCAAATACGCAGACCCAATCTTCAARTGCCCTGACCCCATAACAATACACTTACCATTACTATGCATCAAGYGCATAAAAATACTGATAGCCTACATAAAGTCCATTTTGAGTTTATATCCAGGCTGGAAAAGACAAGAGTTTGAAAGACAGGAGAGATAAAATGTTTTGTGTATCTCCTGGCTGTTCTTTACTACTAGTAGATCCTACTTGAGAATCTGGAACAAAACTTTTCAAGATTCCAAACTTTAAGTGTCAGAAGTATTTGTTTGGTTCATGGTTTTTTTTACAAAATGTGTCTTCTACAGATGGGGAAAAGAAAGGTGGAATTTAAAAAGCTTGTTAAATGTGAGCAATTAATTGTCTTACACTACATACAGATTTTATAACCATTTGCATCATGTGGCTGGATTAATTATTTAGTTTGATTTATTGAAAAGGATGCCACGTGATTCTTTGTGTGAAGCTACTGATTCATCATTACTTTTGTGACTGGATAACAAGGCAGCTCTTCTACTGACTGCACAAAGTAATGTCTACAGCCTGTGGCTAACACAAGTTCAGCTCATTGAAAGCTTGTACTCTGCCAACTTGGTAAAAGGGACACCGAAAAATCACTTTGCCTTTTGTAAAGACTACGGAAAAAAAATGCTAACATTTGCCAAAAATGAGCAGAGTTCAAATTAGGTATGATTTCACATGTAAGAATTTTGACCTGCAATGTTAACAAACAACTCAAGTTAAAAAAAAAAAAAATACAAACGTAATACAACTAAACAGGTGGCAAATAGCTTAACAGACTAGGTCTTACAGATAACACATCTTTTAACTATTCACTTTTGGTCCACAGCATAGTCTCCTATGATTGATTCTTGTTTCTTAGTCAGTATTTTGAAGTCCCAAGTCAGTCCTTACTGACTACTTCAAATTTAAAAGCTCTCTCTAGGAAAATGGAAATGTAACTTTTCATAAAAAGTACTTCAGCGCAAGTCAATTAAGGTTTTACCATGAGATTCAGAGAAGTCATTTTGTTTCACAATGCAAATCATTATGATTTGCTGGTTAGCAGAGTGCATCAGCTTCCTTATTTACGAAAGCACTGAGTTGACTTTAAGACCATCCAAGCACAGAATTAAGTGTAGCTAAAAATCTGTAAACAAGAAGTGTTCTTATTTTACAGTTTCCACCTGTTACAATATTTCTATTAAAAAAAATCCATATTTAGCAGTTCTAGGGAATGTTTATGGATTAAGATGTATCCTAACTAAACTAAATACTAAACTAAATATTCCTCAGCATTCCTTTTTAGTGATATAAAACAGACCTCTGACCCACCAGAAAAACACAGATACAGTAAACTTGCTCATATAACAGAATTATCTACAGCCACAGCCAGCAAGAGCCWAACCTAATATAGAAACACCAAAAGAAGAAAATACCATCTCTACAGATCATGTGGAAACCACTAACCTCACTGAGTGGCAAAAATGCAGAGCCAGGAAGTCAGGTTGACTTCTTCTGGTAAGTATTAATGATTTCACAGTATGTTCTATGCTGTTTCTGTCCTGTGGTCCCAGCTGGTGTATAGAAAGCAATTCAAAAAGGGCCTGCTATGAACTTAAGATCCTGACTTTTGCAAATGTTTATATAGAGTTGGAACTAAGCAAATAAAAAACCAAACTAAAAAGAAATCAAATCAATCTCCCCCACATTTCTTTCTGTCTCTTGGGACTCTCACTCCAGCTCTACGGATACCATCACTTAAGTGCAGACTGCTGTATGGCTTATATATRTATGTAGCCATACAGATTACCAGCCAAGAGAAGAAGAAAGTATTCTTTCCAGAGTCCTGGAATGTGCAATTTCCAGCCTAGAGCAATTACAAATATCTTTCCCATCAGATCATTTTCATAGGCATAAAGACCGAGATCACACTAATATACCCTTGTCAGCATGTATGCTTTAATCACTGTATATTATTCTGATTCAGGGGTTTCTGTAATGGAACAACAATGGAACTATCATGGTTGGTRCTAAAATTGTACCTAACCCACTTGTTTAAGAATGAAGATTCAACACACCAATAAATCTGGTCATTTACAGGAATAAAGGACGGAAGGGCCATACTATAACTATTGACCCAAGAAACCAAGCTAATCAGGAAGAGATAAACCAACTTTCTTGGCTACCTAAAATGTTTCTAATAGCAGGAGGGAAAGGGAAGGGTCTCAGTGGTTAGTTGACTTTTACAAGGTATCAAAGACAGATGGCAGGAATTTTCACAGATTTAGCTAAATATAAAGTGCTTCATAAGACCACTTCCCCCCYCCCAACATTAGTGTATATCACCTTATATAAGGAAGGTTATTATGGAATTTTCATTCTAATATTTAATACTAAATGATTATAGCAATACCAGAACTGTAATTAATGCAATAATTCAAGACTACAACTTAGTAACATGTCCCCAGAGCACAAGAAGTCAAACAACAGCCTCGCTCTTCGCCGCTGCCTTCACCCGTTTTCCTCCTACCTCATTACCCCATAGCACTCCTCCGATTTCCAGAAAAGGTGGCTTTTCTAAGGTGCACAGACAGTCCGTTTAGACACTCCCCACTTCCAGCATAACACCAAACAGAGTCAAACCACCTTACCCTGTAAAACATAGATGTTATCCTTATATTCCACAGCACTGTGAAACTCCATCGCCACGGGCATTGGGCACACAGCTGTCCAGCAGTTCTCTCGGCTGTCATAGCACTCCACAGACTTGAGGGAGTTTCGCCCATCTCCTTCATAAACACGCCCACCTATTGCATACAGTTTACCACAGCAATGAACCAATTTGCAGCCTATTCTGGCTCGCAGCAAAGGAGCTTTTGGAATCCACCTATTGCTCGAGTGATCGTACATCCAAAAATCACTCTCTGCTCTGTGGTCAATGGAGACCTCGCTGCTGCTTGGCCTGTAACCACCCGCAATGTAAATATCATTATCAGGAGATACAAGAATTCCAACCTCCCTCAAGTCATTTGGTGGCTTGCATAGTTTAAACACTCTCCCTGTGACCGAATCTAAACAAGGCACTGTTTGCTTCTTTCCTGAGTGTTTGTGGGCAGCATCAAAGCATATGATCATTTCAGAAGCAGTCATTCCAAGCCGTTGAGTATAGCCATTGGCACTACGTTGTCCCTTTTGTACACAGCTTTTGGCCATCGCCTGTGCAAACATGGGAGGGATTTTCTCTAAAAATGTCTCTTCCAACAGAGGCATACGGATGCATTTGGCAAATATTTCTGGAAGGTGCACTTCTCTCTTATTTTGTTCATGCTCAAACCACCTTATAATGCTGTCATAAACATGCTCTTCCTTGTCTACGTTTAAGTCATCGCTGTTGAGTATACTTATGAGTTGGTCTTTTCTCAGCTGAAGAAACTCTTGCTCTTTGGTGACACTCAGGAACTTTTTACGAATGTAGTCTTGGGACCTTTCTTTGAGCTCCTGATGACCATAGTGATCAGCAAAGATAAACACCCCAATGGAGTTCTGCGGGTCCAAATGGCTGATCATATATTTAGCACACTGGTCTTGTATGGAAGGAATCTGGAAGATACTAGCTGCAGTGAACAAAGCTTGAACGTTGGCCTCTGTCAGCATTACCCTGGAGGTATATGCATAGTTCAATACTAAATGCATTGACTCTGCTTCAACACCAACTATGCGAACTTCTTTCTGGGTACTCTCCGTAAGGCCGCTAGTGAACATAGATCTGAAAAGAAAAAAGAATGGCAGTTTATTTTTAAGCCCCTTCTAGCTATAGGTAAGAGAAATCAAACTATACTGCAAAGCTAATCCCAATGTGCCTGCCCTTACACCATCACAAATACAACAAGATGGTACACTGTCCTGCTTGGGTACCTACATTTAAAAGCAGTTCTAGACTTCCTGAAGCAAAAACAAAAAACCAAAACAAAAAAGCATGCAAATAGGAATTAAAATTTATATAAGCAAAACCCTTAACCTAGCAAGTCCAACATCCAATACGCATTCCCTACATATATTCTAGTATGCTAGAATATATAACATTAAAAGGAAACAAAGAGTTGAATTATGCTGTTACTGTATGCAGGACTCCTCAATATTGGAAGAATTTTTACTTTTTAAAATACATGAGAGTTTGAGCAGAGAAAGGCTCCTTTGAAAAACAACAAGAAAAAAATACATATTGATAATTCATTGGCATTAAAAGCAGAGAGTTATTTACTAAGTCTGCTATACGGTCACTGAGAATATTAGAATATTCTCAACGGAGTATTAGTAGAGATGTGGGCTATATTTTCATTATACATTCATTAGAGGATGCATTCATTATACCTGAAATAAGGACTGATTGCAGCAAGAACATTCCTATGACAGGAGAAGGTTTTCCCRTGATCCACTTCCACTACAATATCCGTCAGCTGCCCTTCATCGTACATGGTTTTCAGCTGTTGAAGAATACTGCAAGCATGGAAGGGGTCCATTCCACTGCTGACTGTGTTTGAAGACGGAATCCCGTTCAGCGTTTGTGAAAACTTACTTGGTTCTATAATGTAAAACAGAAACAGTTTTATTATATGTGCACAAAGAGGGCACACACAAAAGAATTGGCACAGGCTAATATTCCTTACTTCTTCAGCGCCTCATCATCCATGAGCAGCAAGCCTAAAACTTGCAGTGATGACTAAAGACAAGGATACTTCATTCCTGTTGCTTTCCCAATCTACTATGCAAATGAATATATATGATTATACCCATTATTAAGAAAGAACATTTAAGTAATTATTTCAGATTTATTATATATTGTTTAAAAAAAAAATACAAACATCGCAGTGCTGTTTGTAAAAAGTGAATAAAATATGTAAAATTAAAAAAATTTCCCAAGCTCGATCACCATGACGCATGTCTTTGTATATGTACTAACTTTATACTGAAACAGGAACCAGCTACTAACTTGCACAAACTATTGGTAATAGCACAGTCATAAGGAAACAGCCCTTGTATTCCACAATAAGTATGSAGGCAACAAATCCATTAGATAAATCCACATAAATTTGTATACAGGACTATATGTTTTTCTCCACAGATAAAATGCCATTACAATCTAAAATTACTCAGGTGTGAAGGAACTCACATATTGTTGTGAAAACAAATGAAGCAGAGCATATGTGCCTAARCAGCACACGATATGCTTAATCAAGTAAAGCCCAGAGTGAAAATTGAGCAATATCTCAAGCACAAAGATCTGTTTCGTAATAGAAACAAGATTTTTGCGCAACAACAACAAAGGGGACCTCAAAAGAAAAACATKAGGTGGCAAGAGCTGCAGATCAGGTAATGCTGCTGACTGCACAGAGATGCCTCCAACATGTTTAGGGCTAAACAAAGGGTAACAGAGGACAGAGAACAACAAGGAGGATGAATAGGAGGAGATTTAAAACCTAATCCATAGTGATATATGGCAGCTACAATTTCTCTTGCTCAGAATTTAGACACAACTTGGAGCACAGTCCCAATTAAATCAATACAGATCTGCCAAGGGGCACACATTTCTGATGGGAGGCAAGGGGCCAAATCCCGGCAATGTCTCCTCAAACTACTGATAGGAAAAGTCTCAAGAATGCCTTTCTCCAAATAAAATAAGATAGTAAATATTATGTTTGGAGGTACAATCTATGAAAGGGAAGCTTTATCACAGTAACTAAGCTCCAACATTCCRAATTAATAAGTCAGGGAAGGGCAGAATCACATTTTCAGAAGCAATGTTAAGCATTACTGAGCAAATTCCAAGCAAATAATACTTTGCTAGATCAATCCCAATCCTTCCTAAGAAGGTTCTGACTTACAAGAAGGCTCTTAGGTATCCAGTAGTGCAGGAGCCTTTCATTTGCTTTCTACCATTTCTGAAATGCTTCAGAAGAGCTCCCCAATCCTGCCAGTTTCTCAACCAGCAGATGCAATAGAGTCAGTTTCCAGCACTGGTGAAAATGGCCAGGAATGGATACTCATTCCCACGTCCCAGGATTTCTGCCTAACCTACCACATCATTCGTATTGCAGTTTTTCACGCTGTGAAACCATCCCAGGCACTTTCATTGCCTTTCTTTTCTCTCCCCATGCACATCTTTTTCATCTATTAACTGTCCTCCCCCTTTGCACCTTCAAACTTTTGTTTCTCCCAGATATTCACCCATCCTTGCCAAAATACTCCTCCCATGCACATCAGAACCCTCCTTTCTTCCTCTCCACAAACCCACCCTCAAAGAAGCCTTTCCTGGGAGACAACCCAGTCCCTCCTCTCTGCTCAGCCACCCCTGAACACACGCAKCGTTGGGGGTGTCCCCTACAGACAACCCTTCTCCCTCCAACTACCACCACGAACCAACACCCCTGTGCAGACACCCCTCAACACCTCCCTGTGGGCCCCACCAGTGAAACACCTCCACCCAACACCCTTCAGCAGGGAGAACCACCCCCCCCACAGACACCCCTCCCTAT